GAATACACTGCACTAAAAACCTTTCTCGCTAATGAGGGCATTCAACACCTTAAAACACCACCACACACTCCTCAACACAACGGAGCTGCTGAAAGGCGTCACAAACATATTGTCACTACCGGTCTCACTCTCCTTCACCAATCCAAAATGCCACAAAAATATTGGTCGCACGCTTTCCAAACCGCCGTTTATCTAATTAATCGGCTTCCTACACCAATTTTAAATCTCTCCACACCATATGAACAACTGTTCTCCCAAAAGCTAAATTACAATAAACTGAAGGTGTTTGGCTGCTTGTGCTTTCCTTGGCTAAAACCCTACACCTCGAACAAACTTGAACCAACCTCGTCTCCCTGCTCATTCATCGGTTACTCCCTTAATCAAAGTGCTTACTATTGCTTGGATATGAAGAGCAATAAAATTTTCACTTCACGTCATGTTCGGTTCGTTGAGTCCGTATTCCCATTCTCCAATTCTGTCTCCCAAACTCCACTATCCTTTTCCACTGCCTCTATACCTTGGCCGTCCATTGTCACACCAATATCGCCCGCACAGTCAGAAGCGACCGAAGTTGGATCCGAGCCGCTCATAGAGATCATGCCGCCACCATCCGTGGGCTCAGGTAACTCCGACACATCTTCTTTACAACATTCGTCTTCATCTTCTTCCCCTTTGCACGATCCTCCCCCTACCTATATACCTCATCTCATGATTACTCGATCCAAAAATAATATCTTCAAGCCAAAACACCTTTTTCAAGTCTCTACCAAACATCCTCTTTCCGAATCGGTTGAACCCACATGTGTGACCCAAGCCATTAAACAAGTTGAGTGGCGTGAGGCCATGTCTGATGAGCTGACAGCTCTTCTCCGCAATGGAACGTGGGAACTTGTTCCTCCTTCCTCATCTCAAAACGTTGTAGGCTGCAAATGGGTTTTTAGAATTAAAAGAAACCCGGATGGTTCGATTTCCAAATATATAGCTCGTCTTGTGGCTAAGGGTTTTCATCAACGTCCAGGCCTTGACTTCCATGACACATTCAGCCCTGTTGTAAAGCCTACAACAATTCGAGTTATTCTTTCGATTGCATTATCAAATGGGTGGCCTCTTCGTCAACTGGATGTGAATAACGCATTTCTTCACGGTACACTATCTGAAGTGGTTTATATGCAACAACCACCTGGGTTCACTGATAAATCTAAGCCAGATTTTGTTTGCAAGCTACATAAGGCGATATATGGCCTTAAGCAAGCCCCCCGAGCCTGGTACAATGAATTGAAAGGTTTCCTACTCTCGTATGGGTTTATAAATTCGTGCAGTGATGCGTCTCTGTTTATCTACCAAAAAAGATCTATTACTTGTTTTTTTTTGGTATATGTTGATGATTTGATAGTAACTGGAAACTGCAGCAAGTTTCTACAGAACTTCCTTTCAGGTTTGGGTTCTCGGTTTTCGGTCAAAGATCTTGGAGATCTTCATTTTTTTCTTGGCATCGAAGTTCTTCCGACTCCCTCTGGACTCCTACTTACGCAGCATAAGTATATACGTGATCTCCTTGAACGCTTTGACATGGCTGGTGCTAAAACATGTTCGACACCCATGTCCTCTACGCAACCTCTTCATCTTCACGATGGTTCTCCTGCTGCAGACTCCACCAAGTATCGACAGGCCATTGGTGCCCTTCAATACCTATCTCTTACGAGGCCAGACATTTCTTATGCTGTGAACAAACTCGCTCAATTCATGCACTCTCCATCTGAAGCTCACTGGACTGCAACTAAACGTCTATTGCGCTACCTTAAGCTAACTATACACCATGGCTTGTTTCTCAAGAAAAACCAACAGCTTACTCTCACGGCCTTCACCGATGCTGATTGGGCGGGCAACCGTGATGACCGTACCTCTACTTCCGCTTACATTGTCTATTTAGGAGGCAATGCGATCTCTTGGTGTTCCAAAAAGCAAAAGACTGTTGCTCGATCTTCTACGGAAGCTGAATATCGAGCTCTTGCCTCATGCGCTGCTGAAATTCTTTGGCTTCAAAATCTGCTTCGAGAACTTCAAATCAGCCCGTCATCACCTCCAACGATCTTTTGTGATAATATTGGAGCAACTTACCTCTCTGTAAATCCCGTGTTTCACTCCCGTATGAAACACATCGCCATTGACTATCACTTTGTACGTAAGCATGTTACCCAAGGTTCCTTTAAAGTGTGTCACATTGCATCAAAAGATCAACTAGCCGACGCACTTACAAAACCGCTATCCACTTCTCTATTTAGTCAAATTCGGTCCAAGATCGGTATCTCCGATGGGAGCACCGTCTTGCGGGGGCGTATTAGAGATTACACAAATTCAGACTCTCTATCAGTTGGAACAGCCGTGCATATCTCCTCTCCTCAAAACTCTCAAACCCCAACAACTTGAAACTTATCATTCCTTATTTTTAGTCTACAATAGTTATCTTTAATTATCTGTACTTGTGTATATATATATCTACACAATGTAATCACAGAAGTATCAATAAAAATATTAATTCCTCTCAATTACGTTACTTTACAGAAACCCTGATCGGTCACTCCAATAATTATTTCAAATCAACTCAATATACATCAACTGCACTGCACTCACTAAATCAGGACCGTCAAATTCATAAGGCTAAAAAAACAATTAAAAATAAATAAAAAATAAAAATTTTGAGAGTCCGATATTCCTAGCTGTCCATAGTCATTGAGTCCAGTATACACATCGGCCTCCACTATCTACCATACCAACATAGCTAATTAACGAGCTTGGAAATAAAAGAGTTTTCGATATCTAATTTTTTTTTTTAAATCAAAGCAAGTATTTTAAGGCTGAAAAATGATAAATAGAGAACGCATAACTTCCGAATTTCCCGAAAGAGTGAACTATTGATGAGCAAACTCAGGGAAGCAAAATGGTAGTGATAGTTCGACAATTCTAAGCATTAGGCACAATTCTTGCGACATACTACTCCATGTTTAACATATATCATTATTATTATCACGATCGATCACACGAAACAACGGCATAATGTAAAAAGTTACAACATCTTTAATTTATGAAGGGTCAGTTACGAAAACCTCATGAGGTAAGGTTAAGTTTCGAAAAACCCCCTCATGTTTGGGTAATTACAACCACCTATCAACTATGAATCTTCTTATACGTCCATCCTTGTGGTGTCAAATTAAGTGTAATCATCTAGATTGTGTAGTATATTCTCCAGTTTGTACTCGTTTTACCCCATTCAAGCTCCACATTTTGAAACAAGATGTCTTTGTAAATATCAGATTGTAGTGCATCATAAACAACATTTTTGCATTGCACAAAAACAATACAAACTAGAGAAAAATTTACGGAATTTGTAAGATTATGTTGAATTTGACACCATAAGGATGTTGTTGGTCACCTACTCTAACAGAGGACGTAGTTGTAATTATCCAAACATGAGGGATTTTTTTCGTGCTTCAACCTTACATCAGGGGTGATCCGTAATTTACCCATTTATGAATTATGATTCTCAGCAAACACATCCCTAAATATATATATATATATATCCAAGAAGTTGATATATAATGGAAGATTGTAGTTTCGCAGATTGCACAAGTCAATCAATCACATTAATTCCAAGGAAATCAATTTTAGAGAGGAAATTCACCGGTAAGAAACAGAGCGCCGCCACAAGCTAACTCCTTCAAACTCTGTTCACCAAAAGCCGACGGCGAAATAGGCTCAGGACTCCACCTGGACTCCAAATTGCCCAAACTCAGCCTCCCGAAATCCCCATTCTCCCACACAGCGGCGAAACTGTTGATTAATAATTTAAAATAAATTAGTACATTAATCTAGCTAGGGTGGTAATTCATGCAACTACAAAAAACCAAGGCTTTTGTGAAGGATATCTTGTGACAGCCTAAATCCGTCACCATGAATGACCGAATGAGTGACAAATATGTGACCGAATGTACTACTAAAATTTAGAAGTTTTTTATGACCAATATGTGACGAATATGTGATGGATTTGGTGAAAATCGAAACTCAGTCACAGTTCAGTCACAAATCTATTGATGGAAATTGGAGTTGTCACAAATGCGCCACAAACTATTTATGAATGTAAGAATTTGATTCATCATGTTGGTCACAAATCCGTCACAATACCCTGTCTGTCCCAAATCCGTCATATACATTTCGGTCACAATTCCGTTACCTTTAAAGTTTTGTCATTAATTTGTCACTCTATTTATCCGGTCAAAAATCGTCACATACATTTCAGACACAAATCCATCACATTTTATGTTTCGTCATTAATTTGTCACTTTGCATATTGTTGTGTTACTTATTATTTTTTATTTTAGCAAAATTCACTTTAATGCACTAATAGGAATAAATTGAAAATATAAATTCATCGCAAATATGTCAAAAGTAATTTCTCCATAAATTGGCATATTTGAAGTGTCGTTATTGATTTGCTGTTCACTAACTATTCAGTTATACATCCATCGAATATGCTTATTGATTACAATTTAACTACATCCTTAATTTGGTTATTAGTTACTTTGTGGAGTATATAAATGTTTCTTCATTTTTTTTTTCTTTTCAAAATCGTGACATAAAATAACTACATGATAGAATAAAACATAAATAAAAGTAATATAACAATTTAAATTACTGCTTAAATATAATGTATTAATATTAATGTACTTGAATGTTACTTTATTTTTAAATTGACAGTATTACTTATTTTTATATTTTCGTACTATACTACTAAAAAAATAAAACTATATTATTTATTTCTTATGTTTATATTTTGTTTCGTGAAAATATATAAAAAATATTAAAATATCACACCGAAAATAAAAGAAATTGATAGCATATAATTAAATTAACAAATTAAGTTTTAATTATATTGCATATTCTAATAAGAATTGATCAAATCCCCAAGGCCCACTAGTCCACTACCCAAGGAACATCGTGTACCAGTAAACAACACAATACTCACGCTACAATTAGGGCTTGGGCGGTTTTTGCTAATCGATTTTCTCCAATATAACTTCAGATTTTCATCATTTTGTGGCGGCGTAATTGATTTCTGCTATTAGGCAACAACACATCGTCAATGGCGTAATCGATTTATGTTGTTTGTTTGTTAGGCAACAATTCGTCGGCGACGGCAAACCATCGTCATAGTAAGATCTGATTTACTTTTTAATGTTCAATTGAACTATTTTTTATGTGATTTGTTTGAACTAATTATGTTGTTTGTGGGATATTCTAGTTGGAGATCTCTGAGGGTAAACTGCACATTGGTATCCTATTTTTATGATTCATTTGAACAAATGAGTAATTGGATTATAGGATACCAATGTGCATTTTACCCTCAGAGATCATTTGTCGTGTTTTTCACATTAAGCTACAAGTATAGCTTTTATGTTTTATACATTTCACTTTAGAGAATGATAATATATTTTTTTATTGACAAAAGTCATTGAACTACTGGAAATTTAGATATTCTATTGAGTGGTTGGGCGAAGCGGCAGTAATTTATAAGGTAAACGTTACATTTTTAATGTTGCGGACAATCTTTGCTCCTTGAAAGGGATTTTGTTTAAGTGTTTCACCAATAAGCTTGTTTATTGTTCTCTAATTAATTGTTTGATCATAATTTCATTCTGCTATGTTCTTAATTTATATTTAGTACTAACGACTCATCCTACTCGGTCTATTTTTAAGTCCTTGCTGAAGAACATTGTCGTTGATTCCCTTTATTTTGATTAATGATTAATGATGAATTATTTGATTGAGGTGTAAATTTTTAAACGATGAAGGATTTTTGTACTTAATTATCACTAGATGATGTCAAATAAACAATGTTAGATGTTTTATTTATTTGGACCTTGAGTCCCGATGCATTTTAATTGCTGCAAAGAAGCTGTACACCTTTTGTTTCTTTTCCCTCTACATACATTGTGTACATTAAAATACTTATAGTACAACCTTTTTTTTTTTTTTTTTTTTTTTATCATTGTTTTAATTTTATATGGGAATTTTTTATTTTTTTGGTTGCATGATATTCAACACGATTTTTTTACATAGAAGCTACTAGAACTGGTATATGGTATGCGACTCAAGATTCAACCATCTCAAAAACCATGGAAATGGTTGCTTGAGGGTAAGAGTGAATATTTTTTACTTCTAGAATCTAGAGAACAATACGACATAATCCTTGCACACAAGCACAACACCATCTCAATTGATTCTTTAGGTGATTATGTGATCGATTTCTCTATGTATGTCCTAGTTATGTTCGAATGATGCAATAAACTACTTTTTTTTTGTACTTTTCAGTGGAAGTAATTTTCTTTTGGTGATTTGTTTCGTGATAATTAAGCTGTACTTCGTTTAATTTTAAACTTTCCCTTTTTATGTTACATGTGAACATGCAGTTCAGATTATTCATAAAGTGATGCAGATGTGGGATTATGTTCGACATGGACCATATGCTACCCCGATACGTGATGATTGTCAAATTTGAAAGATCGAAAAAATTGAACTGTTAAGCGTATGTGATGGATAGAAAGATAGATGACGATTTCATGGTCTACGGATGTTGGAAGCAAAAGAGTTGGGCAAAAAAGATGGCAGCGACAAAAAAGAGATGGAACATAAATGATTGTAGAAGACAAAAGAGAACAAGGTTTTGTCATAAGATATTTATGGTTTGTCACTCGTAGTACAGTTTAATTTTAGCTGTAGATATAGAAATATTGTAAAATAAATGATCTTTTGTTTTAATAAATTTACACTTTGTGACATTTTGTTGGTTTTGGGTTACATTTCTTTTTTGTATTTGAGTGAAATTTAAAAAACATTTGGTATACAATGTCTAAAATATATTATATGAAAAAATATGATTGTCATCTTAATATAAATTGCGGATTGTGACGAACATTTTTGACAGGTTTGTGACAGCGTGACTGATACTTGTGACTAAGAAAATGTGACGGATGTATGTGACAAAGTCTTTGTGACAAAATATATGACAGATGAATGATGACAGATCTATGACGACGATAAATTGTTTGTGACATAATCCGTCACAAAATATTAGGGCGTTGACCAACATATTTGTAGAATATATGACGGATGAATGATGACATATTTATGACGGCAATAAATTGTTTGTGACATAATTCCTCACAAAATATTAGGGCGTTGACCAGCATATTTGTGACACGATAATTTTTCGTTGTGACTCAATGTTTCGTCACATCATTGTGACGGATTGAAATTATCTGTCAACAAATAATTTAGTGACGAGGCTTTTTCTTACGGGACTATTCGGTCACCTATCCGTCACAAAACACCATTTGTGACAGATTTTCATCAATTTAGTGTCAAAATTGGCTATCACAAAAGCCCCTTTTTGTAATAAAAATCACTACCATTGCCTAAATTTCGGTATTATGAAATTCATTACTATTGCCCTACCAAAAACTTTGGTATACCGACCAAAAGTTCGGTACGATAGGGTAGGGTAATGGTAATTACCAATTTATATTATCTACTATTTAAGTCTAAATTGAATATCATTTTTTTCAAAATAATTCAAGATATACATGTTTAAAATGTACAAAACTAGTTTTTAAAATATAAGTGTCCAAAATATATGTTTTAAATTTACCTAATGTAAAATATTTCTTAAATAAAATTATAACACAAAAACGTTTAACATCAATTATATCATCATTAATGAAAGCAATAAAAAATATTTTTGATATAAGAGCCATTCCCCATTTTATTTTCCTTCTTCCAACAAAGTGATATCAGAGCCATTATTTTATTCTTGTAAGAAATGGCAAGTAATGGGTTGCACTCATTTCAATTTCGCCGTCTCACCAAAGAAAATTATGAAAATTGGTGCTTGCGTCTGAAGGCTATACTTGGTGCACAAGATGTGTGGGAAATCGTAGACAGAGGTTTCGTTCAACCACAAAATGAAACAACTTTGAGTGCCGTCGAGAAGGAAGCATTAGTGAAGTCCAAGAAGAAGGATCAACAAGCCCTCACCCGCATTAATCAATGCTTAGATGAATCGATGTTCGAGAAAGTGGGTAATGCCGACACTGCATATGAAGCTTGGGAGATTTTGCAAACCTCTCTCCAAGAAGCCGACAAAGTAAAAAAGGTTCGGCTTCAATCACTTCGTGGAAATTATGAAACTTTGCATATGGCGGAATCCGAATCAGTTTCGGATCATTGTTCCAGGGTGTTGGCCATTGTGAATCAATTAAAACGATATGGTGAAACAACTGAAGATGTCAAGGTGATCGAGAAGATCCTTCGTTCATTAACTTCGAAGTTCGATTATGTGGTTTGCGCTATTGAAGAATCTAAAGACCTTAGCGATATGACGGTTGATCAACTAATGGGTTCTCTACAAGCCCATGAAGAAAGATTTTTGAAAAAAACAAGAGGAACCTCGAGAGCAAGCACTCAAAGCCAAAATTTCCTTCAGAGATGGTGCAAGGCAGAACTATGAAGGAGGCCGAGGTCGACGAAGAGGAAGAAGTTGTGGTGGTGGAAATTTTGGAGGAAGAGGAAGAGGCAACTACGAAAACCACTCAAAAGAAGAGAGTAACCACCAATCAACAAGAGGTCGTGGCAGGAGACATGGAAGAGGAAGATATCAAAATTTCATAAATGCAGAAAAGAGGCTTGACAAATCGCACTTTAGGTGCTACAATTGTCAAAAACTCGGGCACTATGCGTGGGAATGCCACAATGAGAAAAATAATATTGAAAAAAAGGCGAATCTAGTAGGTGATAATCAAGAAGCCGAAGAGCCAACTTTGTTACTCGCTCTCAAACATGGAGACAAGGACGATAAAATTTTGTGGTACTTGGATAACGAAGCAAGCAACCATATGTGTGGCGATAAGGATAAGTTTGTGGAGCTTGATAAAGTGCGTGGGAATGTTACATTTGGAGACTCCTCGAAAATTGAGTTTCATGGAAAGGGTACCATTTTAATTTCCTCGTAAAATGGTGACCATAAGCTAATCTATGATGTTTATTATGTTTCAAAATTAAATAATACTAGTATTTTGAGCTTGGGGCGACTTGTTGAAAAAGGCTATGCAATTCACATGAAAAATCGTTGTCTTTGGCTAAGAGATTTCAATTCCAATTTAATTGCCAAAGTTTTTATGACAAAGAATCGGATGTTTTTGGTAAATCTCGAGGTTGTTGAGGCAAAATGCTTGAAGGACGATGTTAAAGATGAAGTTCAGAGTTGGCACATGAGATATGGCGATTTGAATTTTGATTCATTTAAAGCCTTGAAAGAAAAGGTGATGGTTCAAGGTCTGCCGAGAATTAATTCTCCTAATAAATTATGCGAAGCTTGTCTTTTAGGAAAACATCCGAGGAAGAGTTTTCCAAAGCAATCCATGTCAAGAGCAATCAAACCGCTACAACTTGCTCATGCCGATGTCTGTGACCCGATCTACCCACCTTCATTTGGTAAAAATAAGTATTTTGGTGCATTCAAAAAGTTTTTGGTGCTTGTGGAAAAGGAAGGCGACTACGAAATCAAATTCTTAAGAACCGATGGGGAAGGCGAGTTCACGTCAAACGAATTCAATCTCTTTTGTGAAGAAAATAGAGTTCGTCGTCCACTAACGGTTCCTAGATCGCAACAACAAAATGGTGTCGTTGAGAGTAAAAATCGGACGATTCTCAATATGGCAAGGATTATGCTGAAAGCTAAAAAGATGCCAAATGAATTTTGGGCAGAAGCTGTCACATGTGCAGTTTACTTGGCCAATCGGTCTCCAACAAAAGGCGTCGAAAATCAAACACCTCTCGAAGCATGGAGTGGAAAAAAGCCTAGTGTTCATCACTTGCGGATTTTTAGGAGTATAGCATATGGCCATGTACCTATTCACGAGCGATTGAAGCTTGACGATCAAAGTGTCAAGTATGTTTTCATTGGGTATGACTTGAATTCCAAAGGCTATAAATTGTATAACCCAACCAATGGAAAATTGTCGTTAGCCGAGACGTGGAGTTTAACGAAGAAGCATCTTGGGATGGGAAAGCACAAGAAGAAGGGACGTATGATTTCTTTCCTTATTTTGGGGAAGAAGATGAGGAATTGCCGCTGCAAAATACATCTCCACCACCATCACCATTGCAACAACAATCACCTCTCACTCACTCTCCTTCTTCTTCGCAAGAAAGCTCAAATGAAAGGGCAATAAGAAAATTCAGAGTCTCAGTGATTTATATAATGAACGGAAGTTGTTAATGATTTGCTATGTTTCTTTGTAGATGATGAGCCCTTGACTTTCCATGAAGTCGTGAAGGATGAAAAATGGAGACAAGCCATGCAAGAAGAAATTGATGCCATTTGAGAAAAATAACACTTGGGAGTTGTCTAATCTTCCCAGACCATGAAGTTATTGGAGTCAAATGGATTTTTAAGGCGAAGAAAAATTCAAACGGAGAGGTGGAAAGATATAAAGCAAGGCTCGTCGCAAAAGGCTACAAGAAAAAGTATGGAGTTGATTATGATGAAATATTTGCTCCAGTGGCCCATATGGAAACCATCCGTTTGCTCATATCTTTGGCGGCTTAAATGAGGTGGAAAATTTATCAACTTGATGTGAAGTCGGCGTTCCTTAATGGCTATCTTGAGGAAGATGTCTACGTAGAACAACCAATGGGGTTTGAGATTGCCGGACAAGAAGACAAAGTTTTGAAGCTAAAGAAGGCATTATATGGCTTAAAGCAAGCACCCAGAGCGTGGAATAGCCGTATCGTCAAATACTTTGAAGATAACGGTTTCACTCGTTGCCTTAATGAGTATGCTCTTTATGTTAAGTCTTTTGCAAATGGTTCAGTTTTGCTCGTTTGTCTTTATGTTGATGACTTGATTTTTACGGGCAATGATTCGAGCTTATTTCACGAATTCAAAAAGGCAATATCTTTTGAATTTGAGATGACGGATTTTGGTCTCATGTCGTATTACTTGGGCTTGGAAGTAAAACAAATGAATAAATGAATATTTGTCTCTCAAGAAATCTACGCAAATAAGGTGTTAAAGAAATTTCACATGCTTGGTTGTAATCTTGTGAAAACCCCGATGGAATGCGGAATGAAGTTGTCCAAATTTGACGACGGAGAGAAAAAAGATCCTACTCTTTTCAAAAGTCTCGTGGGAAGCTTGAGATATCTAACAAACACAAGGCCCGACATTCTCTGTGGTTGGAGTCGTAAGTCGATATATGGAATCTCCTACCTCAACGCACATGAAAGTTGCTAAAAGGATCCTTCGCTACTTGAAAGGTACTATCGGATTTGGAGTATTCTATTATTTCTATAGTGATTTCAAGCTTCAAGGTTTTTGTGATAGTGATTATTCCGGAGATATTGATGATCTAAAGAGCACCACCCGATATGTGTTCTTTATGGAAAAGTCGGCTATTGGTTGGAGTTCGAAAAAACAACCCATTGTTACTCTATCAACTTGAGGCCGAGTATGTGGCATCAACATCTTTTGCATGTCACGCAATTTGGCTTAGGAGGCTGCTTGAAGAATTTCATTTGCCACAAAAGGAAGCTACAAAGATTTTCGTCGATAATAAGTCGCCAATTGTACTTGCCAAAAACCCGGTGTTCCATGATCGAAACAAGCATATTGATACGAGGTATCATTTTATTAGAGTGTACGTTGCCGAGAAGAAAGTGAAGCTCTGCCTTGTGAAAACGAAAGATCAAATTGCGGATATTTTTACGAAGCCTCTAAAGTTTGAGGATTTTAGAAGATTGAGAGAAAGTCTTGGAGTCAAGAAGAAATTTTCAAATTAAGGGAGAGTGTTGATTATAATTTGAAATACATTAGTACATTAATCTAGCTAGGGTGGTAATTCATGTATTTTATGAGTTCATGTATTTTGTAAATTTAATATTCATACATGGTGTTGAAGAGTCATGGAGAGATTCGTGTAGCTAGATAATCAAGGGTCAATATTAGTGGGTATAAATACCCATTGCATGTGGAATAAAAGAACTGTGAGTTGCATTTTCTCTTCTAAGCAGTTTTGTCTTCTCCCCATTTTATTTTCCTTCTTCCAACAGAAACTATTGTTCCCTTTACTCACTTCTTCATCAAAATATTCTATTCCGCCACTTTCAATAGAAACACACCTTCTAAAACCCGACCCGAATGCTGACCCTGCTTTCTTGTTGACCAAATTCGATAACAATGCGATTTTTTTCCATGCATGCGTGAGCTCTTGCCGCCACCACCAGTGCTTGTGGTAATTGGGAGAACCCATATTAGAACTCGCAATCTAGTTCCATGGAAGTACAAGAAGAAGAAGAATTTCTTATTGAGAATTAAAAATGATAAAATGTAATTTGTTACATATTAAGCTGTGTAAACGCATATATATACCAACCAACTAAATAACTAACTAACTAACTATTGCTATTTACAGAGTTAATATTCTATCTTACAGATAAAAGCGCACGCTTTAATTATGAATGTATCTAGCCACTTATAAAAGAGTCTCTATCACGTGTTATACAAAGCGTTCTCACGCTTTTATTAATAGAGATGAATGCGTTTTATTCCTTATCTCTATTAACCCACTTGGGGTTCATGTGAAATAGAGGAATTGATTGTCTTTTCAAAAGTTGTAGAATATGATGAGAAATTAAAGTTGAAGGCTTGAAATAGCGCAACATAAACGTTTTTTGTTGTTTGATGTTGGGGTGTCGGTTTTGTACACGTACGCATTTTGTGTGGTTGGGAGTTTAGCTGTTACTGTACTAGTTATTGTCAATATAGACCTAAGATGCACGAAAACTTCTATACATAAGTGTTTTCATGTTTCGAATATGTTAACACATGGAAACGTTCGGGTCCATTTTTGTAAGTATCTAGAAGTTTTGGGCACTTTTTTAGTAATAATGAAAAAAGGTAACGTGTTTTCGGCCACAAAAATCTACCTAAAAAATGGTTCTTTGATCCTACACACGGTGATAAACACTTGGTGGATTTTCTACTGACACGTGTTGTTTAATTGTTTATTATATATTCCCCCACTTGGTTTAAACCCTAAGGGTTTTAGAAAAGTACAAAAAACTACACGTGTCAGCAAAGACACACCAGGTGTTTATCATCGGGTGTAGTATCGAAGGAGTCCTAAAAACTCGAAATATATGACAATAGATAATTTGTGTATTGAGAATAGAGATTGTGACATGTAAATATTATATATAAAATGAAGATATGCTAGTGCAACCCTAAGAGAACTTTAAGGTATTTTTGTAACCCTAAACTCGAATTTTTAAACAAATTTTATTTTACTAAATGATCGTGTTTAGTATTGCGAGTTAGTGGACAATTATATATAACTTAGTGGTTAATTATTTTAGCACATGATTAATTAATCCACTAACCCATTATCTCTTCTAGTGTGTTTATTTCGTGCAGGACAAGGAGCTCTCAGATTCTATAAGTGGGAGAAG